TTATTGAAATTTATATAAAAAAAACTATTTTGTTTAATTTATTAAAAAATATCAGTACTTTACATGCAAAATTCATCGATCATCTAATTTTTGATTTATATATTATATAAGCTTATAATTTTACATGTGATCAATATTGGTATTGTACTTGAATTTTGGAAAATTTTAATGGGTGTTATTAATTAACTTTAAGAATTATAAGGGGTCAGATACTTATGACCACTTCTGTAACTCATTTTGACTAAATTCTGGATTTTTAATATAGTTATCCAAATGTTGTTAAATTCTAAGAAATAAAAACCTAACATCAGATATGATTAGATGTAAAAAGGCTGAAAGTAAAATTGTTATTTTTTTCAATAGTTCAAGTAAGGTAAGAGTATTCTATTTATTTTATAATATATATTAATTTTTTTTAGACAAAATAAAAAAAAAGCAATAATTAATTATTAAAATTATTTACATTTATTTTTATCCATTCTTATATATTTCACATTAAATCTTTAATATTTTGATCTATTGTAGCTAATATTTCAATAAATTGTAATATTTTTTGAAACTTTATAAGCATATAATACAGTACGTGAAAAAAGTTTTCAGAATAATAATAATAATAATTCAGTATAGAAAACTTTTAATAATTCGCGTAGTATTGTAATATATGATTAGCAACAAAATTTTATATAGTCATGCAGCTTTATATTTTATATAAAAATAACAGATTTAGAATTATAAATATAAACTTATATACTATTTATATAAAAATTATAAATCTAATACTAAAGAATAATGTCTAAGATTATTAGAATGGTCATCAAAAAATCTGGATTTTAATTTAATTGAAAATTTATAGGAATTTTAAGAGGTATGTAGAGAAACAAATTAATATATTGTTGGTAACAAAAATTAATCACTATAGTTTTTTAATATAATTCAAAAAGAGTAGGAGGTAATTGAACCCAAAATTTTTATTAATTTAATTAGTAGTATATCAGTATATCAGAACAAGTAATTGAAGGTAATGATAGTAAGATAAGCTATTAATTAAGCTTAAACATCTTTTTTCTATAATAATAAAGAATATATATTTTTATTTTTATGCAATTTCTATTTATTTTCAAAGTATAATAAATTAAGATATGATTTTAAAAACTTTTTTTGTGTACTATAAATACTATCCTATTAAATCTTAACATTCAATTATAGTTTATAATTTTACAAATTCTCTATTAAACATAATTTTCGCAATCAATCACATCTATAAGGTGAGTTTTTAATTTTTTTTCATTATATTACAAACTTTAACAACTTTTTCATTAATAATTTTAATTTCTTGCTATACAGCTAAATTTAAAATATAGGCAGAACATCTGTAATATCAAAAAGTCTGATTATTAAGTTCTGATGTGAGTTCTTCTGCAATTATTCTTTCACAAACTATCATAACTGATTCATTATTAGTAATAAAAGCTAAGGTTTTTTCAAGCAAGTTAAATTCTGTTAAAACTGATTTTATTGTACTTGCTATATTAACTTTAGTATAACGAATAGTAAAAGAAATAATATTTAATAAAAAATTATATAACTTTCACTCATTATCAATATAATAAATTATTAAATCTATATATACATCATTATTAAATGTTGATGTCTATATATCTGCTGTTAAAGATAATTTGCCTAAAATAGCAATTAAGTCATATTGTATTTTATACGTCTTTTTCAAAATAATTTATTACTAAAGTTTTTAACATTTTTTATCTGAAAGTTAATACAGAGAATCAAGTACATTAATTATTTTTATGAACTGTAATTGTTTAACTGTTCGAAATAATTGTGTATTTCCAATTATCTATTCTACTACTATATTATCATATTCTTTTTTTCTTTTTTAGGCTAAGGATTAATTTATTTAAAGTTTAAAATACTTTGATTTTTTTTACATTTTTAATGTTTTTAATTTTAATTTTGTGTATAGAATCTAAATGTTATTTTAGAGTTGTAATTCCTGTTTTTTTTTCAAAAACTTGTTGAAATATAATATAAAATGGATGGCCTGGATTTTGATGAGATTTTTTATTAAAATATTTCCATGTTGGTGAAGTCTGACAAGTTTGATTATTATCATAATTATTATCACTACTTGGTCTTGATCTTGGTCTTCATTTTGGTCTTATTCTTATTCAAAATTACTATTAATTCAAAATCATCATTCAAATCATTAAAATCATAGTTTGAAAATTCAAACATTTTATTATAGTTTATTTAAAAAAATTTTTATTAGGACAATATAATAAAAAGGAAAAATTAATGGTAAAAAGAAAAAAGTTGAAAGGAAAAGTTAATGGAACGTGGAAAAATTAATGGAACGCGTTTAATTCGTGACTGATCTGCAACTAATCACATGTAACACAATAAAAATTAACTAATTAAATTTAAAAAAGATTTTTATTTATATTAATATACTATAAAGATCGGGTTCTAAGTCCTAAAATTAGGACCTGGTCTTATAAAGACCGATTTTAAAGACTCAGTCTTAAGGTTCCGGACTTGAATTTTCCCCACCCTAATTCGGGGGATCCCAAAGGGACCACCTCTTCCCAGAGAGGACCGGTTTCAAAGACACTCGTAGCTTCTCTGGATTCTGCCACTCCCTTGAACGAAAAAATGGACAGAAATGTTCTCCTGTAGCAAACGAGCAATGGTCGATCAATAAGAAAATCCCCCTATAAACAGAAAGTAGAACAAGATTTGAGACATGAGTTATCTGCTTACTTGGAAGGTAAGGGATCAGCTTCACAGAGTGAACCCAGTTAAATCACTTGATATACAGATTCCCGAATTCTCCTTGGATGCGATTCTAACAGGGTCTAGTAAAGTTACGGCACAAAATAAGCACGGATCAAATCTATTCCCCCAACATTCGTCTTAAATCTAAGGATGAAACCGATTATGTAATTGGCGAAACCTTTAAAGCAGAAAGTTCGATAATGTACTGCGCCATATGATTAATCCATTCTGGGCAATTTTAACGAGCCAACCATCAGAAAAAAATAGGGCTATGCGAATACTAAATGGCCGGTTATAATAGGTAAATTATATTAATTATATTCGATGCCTAATTTTACCAAAATCAGGTGATGATTACTCTGTGTAACCTCAGTCTTATATGAAATTCAGGTGAATCTAAAAAAAATATGAAAAAAGCATTTCCATTAAAGTTACATATTTAGTTATGATAGTTGATTCTTAAATCAGTTTCTCATTTGAATGCTTAAGATGCGGATAGAGTTTGGAAACTCATTTAATGCAAGCCGTAATTTTGGCTGAAAACTTTACCTAATCAAGCGCGTCTATTTGAATAATAATGCTTAGAAAAAAAAATGACATTTTTATAAAATATTTTAGATTATCTCTATTATCCTATTATCAGCTGAACAATATATCAAAGATTAGATGTAAATTTTAATCAAATTAAGGAAGAGGACGATAAATTAATCTTGTGACTCTTTCGTTTGCTTCTTTTGTTTGTAAAAATCGTACAGACTAAAAATGGCGTAAATTTATTATTTGTATAAATATTGTTAGTTGCTTGGGGTGCGTTAATAGAATGCCAAAAATTTAAAACGTAATAAAATGTACGTGATTATTTTCTTGTAAATTTATTTTTATTAATTATTATATTAATTAATTATCAATATTTTTTTAGTTTTTTATCATGGTACCAAAATATTTTTTTATTGCTGTTTTTATTGTAATTGGCTCTACTTTAGTTGCTTCTCAGAAGTGTCCCAAAGATAATACCAATTCTAGCAATAGTTGTTCAAGAAGAGTGAGTGGTGGTGAATTTGTTTGTAAGTATCTTTATTTAGAATTTTTTTTTTAAACTTATCGTTATTTTATTTATTAAAAGAACTTTTAATAAATTAGGTAATGGTCAACCATGTGTTTATTGCACGAACTGTAAATGCTTGAGTTATTGCTGGAAAAATGAAGGTGATTGGAGGCGCAATTATAATTGTGTTTGCACATCATAATCGAATCTTTATGCGCGCGCAAACATTTGTAACACTATATCGTTGTACGCGAAATACTATGTTATAATTGCTGCGCCACTTGGATCATGTCACACTATTTTTATTATATTTATATTATATATAGTATTCATATTTGTATTTTATAACTTTAAAGTCAGTGGTGTCTCTTGTTAAATAAATACTGTCTTTTCTATAAAATTATCTCTTAACCGTCAATTTTAGTGGACAAATCTTTTTAAATTGTCATTTTAGATACATTATTATTGACTTAATTAAATTTTTTGACATGGCACATACCCTCCTTTTCAAACTTTATTTATAAAATATATAAAGAATGAGATAATCAAACATTTATATTAAAATATAAATTAATTCAACCTTAATTATAATTAAGGATGGCAACGGTTAGTCATCGGTCAGTAATGTCCGGTCACGCACGGATGGAACTTACCAATTTCGTCCTATAAATTATTAGTTAAATGTCGGCTAAATAGCTAGTCAAACGGTCGGTTAAACACCTTGACCGACCGATCATAATACATTATTAGTTGATGAGTTACAGTTTAAAGGAAAATATTATTGATAACAGATTTCAAATTAAATTTGATAATTCATTTTGATATATTGAAAATTACATAAAATTACAGCTGTTTTCATATTTTTCGGGACAGACAAATTTTGAACCCGACATCCGATCCGATATGCGGATATCACTTGTTTCTGGATTTTGTACTAAAAATAAACAAACTAAATAAACTATAACCGATAAACAAATGGGGACCCGAATAGCAAAAGCCGGGGCTCGGCCAATATTGCGATTTTGAGTAAAATCGAGGTTAAAGTCACGTGATCAATTTTGACGATCACTTCCAAGAAAAATAAAACGGTCTTAATAATCTACAATGAAATTTTGCATGTATATAATTGAACCTTTTGACAGTTCTTTGGCATAATTTTTTAATATAAACCATTAACTTTATATAACAAATATTTTTAATGAAGTTAGTGTAATATTTTGTGAAAAAATAAACAAATTAGTTCGTCCCGAAAACTTATTTTTTTGAGATTTCAATGTTTAAAAGCATAAAAAAAAAATGATAATAATGTAATAAGAACATTAGCAACATTATGTGAGTAAAATATAGGCTTATTTTATTTAATAATATTGTAAAATTTATAACCTATTTGCAACACTTTTAGTCTAATTTGTTTTTTGCACATTTGGCTTAGGACAAGTAATATTTTAAAAGGGTAAATCAACGTAAGGGGCAATTTCTTTATATAATTCCTCTTGCCTTTTCAAAGAAAACAATCTAATACTAATTATAGAAGGAAAAATATTGAAATCAAAAGGAAAGTTACAGATTGTAGCTTCTTTATAATTATCTTTAAGCCTATTTTTGTAAAAAAATGATTCTGAAATGTTGTAAGGTAAAATAAAAATGATGATATTTTTGAATGTTGGGTAATTTTTTAAACATTTGAAAGTAATTTTTAAAATCATAATATTGAAAACCTTCTCCATTTAAATAGTGTTGAGAAGTATTAAGATGAACTGTAATAGAACGATTAATAATAGAAACTACATTATCTACAGTATTTACTTTGATTTTCTAATATAGAATCTTAATTAGACCAAAACAACTATCATAAATGAATTTTATATGTCCAGGTATCATAAAGTTCAATTCAACCTCTTCATATAATCTACGATCAATTAACCATGAATAAAAAAATAAAGAAAAATTATTTTTGTTTTGATCTATGCAGTTATCACAAGTAATAACTAATTTTTTTTCTCCACAATTATATTTCTGAATAGCATATCAAACTAAGCTTAATATACAATTTATTCCTTTTCCTTGTTTACCATCATCTGGCTTTTCACCTTTATTAATTACAAAATTAGTCTGTTCTGTATGTGAAAAGTTTCAAGTATTGCAAACTCCAAACAAATGTACTTTTCAGGAACTTTTAAAAAATAAAGATCCTATTTGTTGTGGTGAATAAGGAACTAGTAAATTCTGAGTCCAATCATATGTAATATAAGTGCTACCTTTAAAAGATTTAAATAAAATTTGAGATCCAGTTGTATTTGAATTGCGTTTTTCATCCTTAACTGCATTCTTAATATTAATATTATAATAATCACATTCTTCTTTTGCATGATTCAAATGGGTTAAATAGTTTTCAGTAACTGCCAATTTTTTTCCATAATCAATAGCATACTGAATGTCTAATTTCATTATTTCACAGGTTTCACATAAATCAGATTTTGAAGACATAAACTGAAGTGATAGCATTAGTATTTTTCAGATATTACAAAAAAGTTTTTTCAACTATAATATGAATATTTTCTCCATATTTATCTTTACAAGCCTGCATATATTCATGATATACTGATACATAACTACAATTTTTTAAAAGAAATACAACCAGCATTGATATTTTATTAAAATTCCGTCCAGGTGAAGGTAAATCATGTATATCAGCATAATTTTTTAAAAATTATAAACTTCACATGTAACACCATAATTTATATTGACCCATTTCATATTTATTAGTGCCTTTCCAGTATTACCATGTATACGTTCTTCAAACTATTTTTCCGTAAATATTTTATTACATTATCTAAATATGTATGACCAACTCTAACAAGAGCCTGATATGCGATACAACAAATTAGAGTATTATTATTATAACAATATTTAAAACGTAAAAATTTTCTATTATTGACGATTCTTTTTCTTGTATTTTTATCTTGCTAAAAGGCTATAAGCTATCCTTTGATAACCATATCCTGCATATTTTTATTTAACCCTTCAAATTCTATCTGACGTGTAAAAAACCGTTTATAACTAATTTTCTCAAAACAATTAGAATTACACAAGCATTTATTATTATTAAAAATCTCTTGTACTTTTAACTTCAAATTATCATAAACTTCATCTTCAATAAAATTATCTGAATTTTTCATAAATTCAAAGTTACTTAAGTGCATTTCATTAAAATTTTCAATAAAATTTTCTTCGACATCTTCGATATTCTCAATATTATCAGAATTAGAAATAATTTCATTATCTGACGCACATTTTTTGATATTAGAACTTGAATTTTCAATAAAAAATATATTGTCCAACTCTTCTAAAGCAGACAAAATATTTTCATTTGTGCCATCATTATTAAAATAAATGCTGTGTTCTATGTTATTTATAAACGAAAAAATGCGAAAAATTTTAAAATAATTGACTGCAAAAAATGTTAAAATTTATGCCTTTATTACTAATATATTATGGGCGAAAAACATATTCTAAATGGCTAGACCTATAGGCATATGATTATTGTGAAATCTTAAAATCACGTGATTAGTCTGAGCTCTGGCTTTTGCTGTTCAAATCCTTAAATACTGGACAATATTATCCTAATGGCAATCACGTATTACAATCTGTAAACAAAATGTTCATAATCATGTGATCTGATACCCGCTTATCAGATCAGGTGTCAGGTTCAAAATTTATTTTGTTCTGAAAAATATGAAAACAGCTGTAATCTTAAAAATGCCAATCTGAATCCGAACTGAACCGCAAACTGGTAAAAATCTGAACTGAACTAGAATTTTCAGATTACAGCTATTCTTATAATTCCTAAACCATCCAGTTTATTTTTGTTCTAGAGATAAATTTTTTCATATGCAGTCATACGCACAGATTTATAAATAATCAACAGTATTTTCTTATATAAATATTTATGTAATACATTATAATTCAGTTAAATAAATAATAATAATAAACAAATAAATATACGGACTTTTTTTTTTGTTATGACTGAACTATCTACGCATACTCGTTGGCAAATAGTTAAAAAATCATTGGCAGGTTTATCAGAATACCAAATTGCTAGACATTTAGGAATTAGCAAAACTACCGTACACTGCGTTTATTATCTTTTAAAAAATACGGATGTGTAAAAAATATTTTAACTTTGCGTGAAAGATCAAGAATTTTTGAAAATGATGATATGAAATATTTTGAAGTACTTCTCAAAGAAAAGTAGATTGGTATATTTGGGAATTGCAATCTCAAATGGAACTTTGATTAGAATGAAGCCTTGATCTCAATATAATATGGAGAGCAATACATTGCCTTAGATATACATATAAACAAGTATAACTAAATATTTATAACAATAATATTTTGCATTTATTATTTATATTCTAATCGTTATATATACTATGTATTGTAGTTATCTAAACCCACCTAGGAAAGGAAAGAAAATAAATATGCAGAATTTATTTTACGTATGTCTCAGTATTTACCTGATCAATTAGTTTTCTGATGAATCAGCTTATAATAAGAGAACTTTATCTTGCCAGTATAAATAGAATATTAGTGGATATTGTGCAAGAAAAGCTACATTTTTTGTTAGAAAACAGAGATTTACAATTGAAGGTGCATTGTGTGTAAATGGCCTATTAGCATATAGCATTTAAGAAGGATCGATGAAATTTGATGATTATGAATATTTTATTGAAAATATTTTGATATGTCCTTTTTAACAAATTTTCATGCTAAAGCAAATATAAAATTTAACACATTTAATGTATTCTTTATAATAAGCTGCCAAAAATGTTACCATATTCTGCATAATACAGTTTTTAATTTTAGATAATACATCTATACATAAAAGTTAATACTTACGAGATATTTGTGAAGAAAAAGGAATACTACTTGAATTTTTACCATCCTATTCTCCTGATTACAATCCAGTATGTAAAGATTTAGTTATTTCATTTGATATTATAATTTTTAATTGATTGTATTATTGTAGATTGAGCAAGTATTTTTTTATATTAAAAATTATTTACATCAATATCACGATTAGGTGGAATCTGTAAAAAATCTAGTAGATGCATTAAATTTTAATTGTATGATGATTGGTAAGGCTTTGACTAAAGTATGTTTTGAACATGCTGGATATTTATAATTATTATTTTAGAAATA